ATGTACTCTGGATCTATTGTCAAGAGAGACCATTCCGTGGAGAAGGACATCATGTTTGGTAAAGTGGAGGGGCAGTAAAAAAAGAGGAAGGCCTTTTTACATGCTGGCTTGACACAGTGCTGCATCAAGGGGTTCAGACATGGAAATCATTTTGAAGATGGCGCGGGATGGTACAGTGTTTAGTTCAGTTGTGCATAGTGTCGGTTTGGGTTGAAGCTGACTTGATGGGCCCTAACAATAACAGAGCCACTCTAATTATGCTCTATGCCTTCACTACTCTCTTATTATGGGATAATAAGTAAAATTACTTGGTAACAAGTGCACTGGTAGAATTTGCTCAAACTCACATACAATTGTATGGGGTTATTTATTCCTTGCCCACGGCTCTATATTTTACTCAGCAAGCTCTACAGGATTTCTATTTTTAAACCCGAGTCTGTTCCTGAATTGTTCTTGGTATTTGAGTCAATGATTCTAATTCTTACTAGGCAATTCTTCTTAGAAGTCCCACTGAGACCTCAAAGTCAACAATCCTAAAATTAACCTCACTTTCCTTTTTCTTTGCAATCCTTCCTCTCATCTGGCACTTAACACCCCCAACCCCATACTGCCTCTTCAGTTCTTTTGCTCCCATCCCCCAAATCACCAATATTTGAGGAGTTTCCATTTCAAATAGTAGTTCAATCAGTGTCTTCTCTGTATTAACCCTATCCGAATTTAATTCCTGCGGTGACTGCAGCTACGGGCTCAAGCATAGAATGATTATTAAGATGGTGCAGCACTGGGCAGTGTTCAGTTTTGTTGTGCTAAAGATCCCTATGGATTGAAATCCACTGGATGGCACTTAACAACAACAACCCCAACAATTTAATTCTCGACACCTCTTGGCAAGGTTCTGCACTACAGAAAATACTTACAGACTTGGTTGCTTCAAGTATAGCCATAATAATCATGCAGAGCTATCTAGTTTTTATCCACAAGGGCTAAGGTGTGCCTAATGCACATCATGGTAATGTCAATGATATTCCATGTATTATAAAAGCTGGACAATGAATAAGGAAGGACACGGAAGAATTGGTGCATTTGGATTATTGTGTTTTTGAAGAACATGGAAAATACCTTTGACGGCCGAAGAATAAACACCTTGTCTTGGGAGAGTTACAGCCAGAATATTTCTTAGAAGTGAGGATGATGAGATCTTGTCTGAAGTCCTTAGAGCATATTTTCAGGAAAGATCCATCCCCAGCAAAGGCCTATGCTAAGGAAAGGAGAGAGTTGGTAAAATAGCGGAAGGCTCTCACAATGGCTCTAACAAGGAGCACAAACAAAACCGTCATGAGGGTGGTTCAAGAGCGGCAGTGTTTTCCTTCTGTTGTAGGTTTGCTGGGCCAATAAGAGTCAGAGGCAACTAGAGAGCACCTTGCACCACCACCAACACTTTAATCAGATTCTAACAATACACAGTAAGGCGTTAATCACTTTGAGCAGCAACTCCTACCTCCTTGACTACCTTAAATAAGGCTCTTGTATTCATAGTATCGATCGCATGTTTTTTCTATAATAGTCCCTCACAATTTATAGTTTTCTACACATGCCTCCATAGTCGTTTAACAGCTTATTGAAATACTCCTCCCCGCTCCTCTCCTGCATATATCTCTTTTCTTTTTTAATTCATAACAGCCTCCACGTTAATCAAACAGAAGTTAAGGAAGGTTTACCTAAACCACTAGTTTTGGGCAGGTGTCTCAGTCTTATTCTCCTGAAAGGTCTTCTTTAGGATTCTAACAGATATTGAAAGCTTTTCATTTAGATTTTTTTTGAGGATCATAAATCATCATTCAGGAGCCATTGAAACATAATTCAGCCTAACCACAATAACTGGTCTGCCAGCTTCTCTGGAACCCAGAGCTAAGAAGAGTCTTCATAGACTAATCTTCTCTGGCCTCTGGAGTCTATTGAGATATTAGCAATAAGAGATAGCCCCTTGATATGCTGGGACTGGAAAAGGCTTTCTGACACAGAAAGAGAAATTGTATATATTTTTTCCTGATCTCTTGGACATCTGGTCAATGCTGACTCATAGTGAACCCCCATAGATTTTAGAGACTGCAACTGTTTATGGCAGTAGAAAGTCCAGTCTTTATATCCGGAGCTGCTAGTGACTTTGAAATGCCCACCATGAAGATCTTAGCCCAATGCTTGACCACTGCACCACTAGCACACTTTTCCCAGGAATGGTGACACACCTGTATTTTATTTGTAAGGTGAAATCTGAATATAAAAACAATGTAAATATTGAAAAGAGTGAGGCATTCAGTTACGATTCTGGTCACTATGAGGGTGCCTTCCAGGACTAATTCCTCTAATAGATTCAATTACATGTCCATCTACAGGGTTTGGAGCGATTCTTGATGGGGCCTCATCCCTCCAGGGCAAGGAAGTCACATTTCCCCAATTGTCTTCTTCGATGGCAAACATCTTATTTATTTGTATATGCCTCAGTCCTTGTACAAACAATGTGTAGTGCACAGTGCACAGTAATTATATAGTTAATAAATAGAACATTTGAACATAGTCTACATCAGCAACTCTTTCAAATATAATGTAATCAATGAGGCATGCTTTATGATACAAGAGACCTCATCTCAAATATAATTTAAGGAGAACATTTACTAAGTCATAGACTAATACACACAAAGACAGAGACATATTATCTGAATGAAGGTGGCCATTAGTATGAAGTTAAAACGGCGTCCAAAGGTTTGTTGAGATACAAAGCTTTAAAAAAGGCTTGGGAGGCCAAAGGAAAATATCACAAAAGCATGATGGGTGGCAGATCGACACTTAGCAGTTGCAGAAGGGTCTACAGAAACGGACAGAACCATGTTTAGGGCACATACATTATGTTAGATGGAGAGGTTTACAAGATGGTCAAGGCCCTCCAGCCAAGACAATCAGGGTCAGGCAGATAGGGCACCACTCATGTCTATGTGAACCCACGTACTTCCCTAATAAGGTGACCTGCATCAAGGCCACATCCAGGCCAGCCACAAGAGAGACTGCCCCTCCCTGGGCTGGGTGCAGAGGTGTGGAGGTAATCTACTTTCCAAGGCTCTCTGCCTGAGGGCAAGATAATCTACATCCTTGGTTAATGACCAGAAAGAATTCAAGGGAGGTTTAATCTGTGTGAGAACTCTGCTAATGGATTTAGGGCTGTCAGTGTCCTCTGTACCCTTTTGCCAAGTGAGGTGCCAGAGTTGAAACTCTAATACTGGTATCAATTTCCTCCTTCCATTGGGCTTGCACCCAGTGAGTAAAGTTACTGGGAGACAGGTGAAAGATGCATTACTATTCAGAAAATAGGACTATGCAGAAGAGCAAATTAAGCTGTGCTCCCTGATATTTAAATGTGCCTTAAGTTAGTTATAATTTTCGAGAGCATTCATATGAGACAGGACACTACATTAAATTGGTAGGCATCAATGCCTTGTCATCTCTCAAATCAGCAACGGAGATATCATGAAGAAAAAGGCAATTCACAACACAGTTCTTATTCAGATGCTGTACAGCTCAGTGTGTCTGGTTCAGAAACCTGTTACTATCAACTATCGACAATGTTTAGAAATCATATCTCTCATTTGGAAAGTATATGCCCTTAGATCTATACTAAAATAACATGCAAACTCTGTCAGTATAAAATAACTTGCTTGTCAAGATAGTAATTCCCTTTACTAAATTTTCCTGATGAACAAGCCAATCACTTGCTTTGACCTGGGAATTCAGATGAGCTGATTACAATGATGTCATATCCTTTTACGTATTACTTGTAATCCCTTGTCTTTGCCCCTAAGGCCAGAATAATGATGATATATTGTGCATTGTCCCTTATGATTCACAAATCCTTTTTACATAACATCTGTTCTTTATCATTGATAAGATAGACAACATTGATGACAGACAACATTGACTATCTGGTTCAAAGATCAGCCCTGAAATTTTCTAACAATGTGACCTGGGCCAATTATTTAATGTGTCTATACCTCGGTGACAATTTAAAAATTAAATTATTAATTTCCTTGGGGAAACTCATAATACTCTTTTAATAGGCTTTCCTGGGACTATCTAATAACTGAATACATATTTAGAACATTGTCTGATGGTTTCAAAATATTATTTATTAGCATTACTATTGAATGTATAGGTGAAAATGAAGTTTAAGTACTTTATATCAACTAGTGTGACTAAAAGCTTTACAGGAATCCAGTTTCTCTTTTCTTTGTCATTTCCTTCGAAACTCTAGTGCAGCTGCAATGGAAAGCAGCATCCATTACTCTCCAGTATGTTGGCTAACACAGAAGATAAAGAAACACTGTTAGCACTAGCCAAGGTCATATCTCCAGGTCTTTCTTTTTTGGGGGGGAAAGCTGTTCTGATATGTATGTAGCACGTTAAACCAACAGTACAACAAGAATGGTCCTTTTATAAGTGTTTAAGGAAGATATTTCTGTGCCATGGCCAAATTGGCAGTTAAAAATATCCCCTTCCTTTCTAAAACGTGATTATCATTATTATTTTTTTATCCCTAGATACATTCACAAATTTCACTTATGGCCTGGCATCCAGATGCCTTCCACCCTGACTCCCACCAGTTCCTCCCACAGCCACCTTTAAAAAACCTTTTACTGCTTGAAAAGGTTTTAATATTCAGCAGGTTAAGGAAATCCATGGTCAGCTTTAGGATTTGTGCCTCTGCTGAGCTTTCAAGGTGTCAAGACCCTAAAATAAAATGAACAGCAGGAGTACTAAATCGTTCATTATTTCCAGTCTCCCCTTGAGCACACTGGCTTTGCAATAAAGAAGCTGTCATTTACACACTTCTTTATTGCAAGGTGGGTCATAGCTACAGGGAGGAAAATAAGGAACTGTGTCAAGTGAGGCTGACTACCATTATGATGAAGGTGTAATCATTGCACATTTGCATCTACTCTTTTCATATACAGGTACTTCATAGATTGGAAGAGTGACGGGGACAGCTACTTTACAATAGATGGAGCTGATGGAACCATTGCCACTAATGAATTACTAGACAGAGAAAGCACTGCGCAGTATAATTTCTCCATAATTGCGAGTAAAGTTAGTAAGTATGGCGTGGATGGAATCAATGTTCTGCTGCACTTTTTTGGATTTCACACTCTCAATGAGTCCTGGCTCAGGGGCTTTTTCTTTTTGGACTGACAGCTGAATGGTCTCCTGGGGCAGCGTGGAAACCTGTTCCTTTTCCTTGTAGCATAAGTCCACTGAAATTGTGACAGCTGCCAATGAGCCCTGCTTGCAGGATTGCCTGCATAGCGAGAAGGGGGTTTCATTGTGCGACCTCCTTTCTCTACTCTGTAGCCTGAAAAATCCACCAGTCACAGCCACCTGCCCCGCAAAGTCACTGTCAGTAGCATTGGAAGATGCACAGACCAGGCAGGAGGAAAAGGTGATCATGAAATACCACCTAAAGTGAAATGTGATCTGACACTACAGAGGATTTTTCTTTTTAAATTAACCCTCTTCACTCTGTTTTTATGAAAATGAAAATTTTTCTGAAATAGCATTTTATTATTTTTCTCAGCAAATTAGGTCTCCATTGATATTGACAATCTCTATGCACATTGATCAATGAGTTTAGATTTCTCACAGTGCGTCAGCATTCTCTATACTTGCTTTCTCTTGGGTCCATTTCCAGTATTCTAGTTTCCCTGACCCCTTATCTCCTCATCTTTGCTTTACCGTTTACCTTTAGGTATCATATAGAAGCCTTGTTGTTGTTGCTGTTGTGTGTTATTTTATCTAGAACACCAGGAAACACACAAACAGCCCTCACAACCTGGAAGCACATTGCAACTCACAATGAGCTTAGAGGATGGGCTAGAACTGCCTCTGGGCTTCCAAAATCATAACACATTAAAAAAAAAAGAATTTTATTAGCATATAACTCACAAGTCATGCAATTCCATAGTTCAATCACATCAAGGCAAGGAGTACAGTCATTAACATACAGTACTTAATTGTAGAACATTGTATTGGTTCATGCACTCAGCATCCTTGCCTTCCTGTTTCCAAGTACTCTTTCTGAGTGTAGAGAACTTGGTCCTTAATTTTGGACGCTTGAGCATTATTTCAGGAGCTCTGGTGGTACTGGTGGGGAGGTGTGTTTGTCTGGGTTGACTAGAGAAACAAATGCAAACTCCTATGTGTATAAGAAAGAACCTTATATCAAAGAGCAATTGTACATCGAGAAACACCCCAGCTCAGTCCACATCAAGTCCATAAGTCTGATATTTGCCCTTATGTCTGATACTAGTCCCTAAATTTGTCTGTAGGCTCACACAGCACATGCAAGGATGCCGAATACAGGAAGATCACAGGCCAGTGGATCCAGTGGCAGTGGACACATCTCAATGTTGGCGTGGGTTTCCATGTGTCTCTTCCAGCTCTCTGAGTATCTCAACAGCAGGAAAGGGAAAGCAGAGAGAGTGTGTGTCCCGCCTCCTGGGAGGAAGACAGGCATTACCAGAATCCTCAGGAGAAGGCCATGCCCACACAGAGGCCTCATAGGCTGTGACCTGATTGGCAGGCTAGCCTCCACCCCTCCGCTTAAATTGTCAGTAGATTATGTAAATGCCACAGCAGGCTTTGTACTGCTGCTAAAATGGGTGGTTCAAGCCACCAGCAGCTCTGTGGGAGAAAATTGAAGCTATCTGTCCTTCTAACAATTATAGCCTTAGGAACTCTTTATAGGGTCTTTATAGGTTCGAGTGCACTCTATGGCAATGGAGTTTATAAGATGATATTTTGCTGGGAGGTTATCTCAGGGACTTATTTTTAAAGTTTTTTATTTTTAAAACTCAAGTTTTAAAGATCATGAGAGTGCCATAATCTCAGGGAGAACTCTTGTCTAAACTGGTTCAGTAAGGCTGGACTTTGTGAAGAATTTTAATTCTGTTCTGCATGTTTTTGCCCATTCTGTTACAGCTCATCTATTGTTATCCTAACAGTAGTTGGATCTTTTAAAATCTATATCATCGTGGAATAAAGAGGACTTCAAAGAGCTTTCTCCTAGATTCAATAGGATTGTTGGGAACTAGACCTCTGATGGTGTCATGGTTACACCTTGGGCTGTGATCCTCATGGTCGGCAGTTCAAAACCACCAGCAGTTCCGGGGGAGGTATTCCCACAAACAGTTGCAGTTTCAGGAACCCCCAGGGGGTCACTCTAAGTCAGCATTGACTCTATGGAAGTGGGTTTGTTTGGTGGGGGAGGGGGCCTGTTTAATATTCTCTGTGTTTGCTTCCAGTTAGCCCAGAAATGAATCATTCAGCAAAAATGTGTACGGCTAGGCATATATTGCTCAATAACCAAAGAAAATTATCATCATTTTCTAAAATAATGCACTGGGGTGGAGGTGGAGTCATTTAGCTCTGGACAGAGTTATTTTTTAAAAGAAGTGAATCTCACTAGTTCTTCTGTTTATAGTCTTTTTTGAAAGGTTTGGGGAATCCCTTCTGAACATCTTTCATTTTGTCTGCTTGTTATTTTCTTGTGTGCATCTGGTGGAAAAGTATAACCATTTGGCAGCTAATTTTACCTTTCAAGACAGGGAACAGCTAACTGTGAATATTTCTGTTGAGAGCTTTTTGAACAGTCTCCACGCAGTGGGGTATAAATATAAAACAATTTGTTTGTCTTCAACAATTGCTTCCAACCAGGATTAGTCAGACACCTTTTTTTCCATCTTCTATGACATCTTAAACTAGTTTAATAACATCCATTTCACTCTGATTTTTCTAAATTAGTCTAACATAAAATACCACACAGTTTCTCCCTGGCTGGGTGGAAGACTGGCCTTGCTCATTTAGAACTCTGGCCTGGAGGTGCTGTGGTTGGTAGTCTCTGATCTTAGCCTTAAACTATCCCTACTTTTGCAACAGACATGTGAGTGAAACTATCTTGGAAACTCTTAAAAAACAGAAAAACAAACAAAACCACTGCCACTGAGTGGATCCCCACTCATAACGACCGTAGGAGCACGTGCCATTTACTGCATACCACAAAGTCACCTGCGTGAAGGATATTTGAAGTAAGATACTCTCCTAGGCAAAGCCTTACCTGAATTCTTATTCACAAACCCATAAGGTAAATTAAACAGAAACTATGTGAAGCTGCTCTTCGTTGTTGTCACGGGCTGCATGGCACTAGGTGAATGTAGCAATGGGAATGCATGTGATGATAGCACACGCTGGAAGTTTGTTTGGTGAAGAAATGGAGGAAAAGGTGATTGAGATTGTATCTCTGCATCTGAGACAAAGTAGTAGATCCTCCAGTAGGTTGAAGTGGAAGGAAGAAAGAAAAAAAATACATAAATCTCTCTCTTAACTAATGTTCCATTGATACCATTGTTTCTAATACTAAAAGGGACTGGCAGGGAGTCTTGGCACATAATCTGCACAGGGACTTAATGTGGGCACCTAAAATATTTATTTTGTTGTTGTTACGTGCAGGCTAGTTGGTCCCAGTTCATGTAAGAGCTGGCTAAAGGAGAATCAAACAGTGATCAGGCTCATGCCATCCTCACACTCATTGCTACCTTTGACTGCATCGCGGTACCGCTGGGCCAGGAAATCTCTTTGAAAGTCTTACCCTCTTTTCTGACCCTCAACTTTACTGAGCATGCTGTCTGTCCTCCAAGGATTGGTCTCTCCTTTGTGATACCCTCCAAAGTAAATCAAACACTGTTTCTCTTCACTCTCACTTCGCAGGAACACTCTGCCTGTACACCTTCCCATATTTGTTTTTCTTTTCTTCTATCCCTGGTATTTTCAATATCCTTCATCAACACCAAGATTCAATTGCAGCCATTCCTTGCCTTCTCTGCTCTTGTGTAGCGTTCACCTGTGTAGGAAGTAATGGAACACACCATGCCTTGGACCAGACCCATCTGAATTCCAGAGGCCCTTACTCAAAAGGTCACCTTCTTGGGGGAGTGGATAATTTATTTTTCACTTTCTGCTCCTTTCTTTTCTACCTACTTGACCTTGGTGAAAATCACAAACCCATGACCTGCTAAGATGATTTCCTTCTCTGTGGTTCCATCTCCTTCCAATTCTTCCTTCCTTCCTTACTCAGCTCTACCAGGGAGAAGGACTCAATTGGGCTGCCTGATCATCCATATTATCACAAGAAATGTTTCCGTTATTTTCTAAATTCTCCACTTAAGCTTAGCTTATTAGGGAAATGAAATTTTCCTGCTTCTTAGAGCATATCATATTACAGATGTGGATGCTATCATCCTATTCAGGTGCATTATCAAACATGCCATTTACTCAGAATTAATGGTAGGAAATCTTTCTTTTGGGGACTCTTTTATAAGAATACTATTAGCTAAAAAAATTACTGTAGGACCTCAGTAAATCATGGTGTGTTTACTTTAATTGTTTATATACAGTAAATAACAAATAATCATAGGTAATCCATCAAAATAACTATTATTTGCCATAGAAGTGTTCATAATAAGTGAACATTCAGTAGAAAGTTATCTAACTGAATCCAAACATTCCCATGAACACATAAACTAGGTGTATATTTCACTGAAGGACAAATAAGAGACCCCAATACATTAACTCCAGACAACTGTCTTCAACTAATCCAATAACTGTCCTAAACTCCCAGTGGGCTGCCATTAATATTGATAAATAAAAGCATACCTGAATTTATAAATGCAGAAACTTTATTTAGAGAAAAGCTTTTGCAATAAGAAGGAGAAGCATGAATAAGGAAAGAACATGCTTTAACAGGAAAAGTGTATTGCTAGAGTAAGTCAATTCTCAGGGTTGGCTGCTATAGAAACATGTTCTTTGCAGACTATGTAAGCTTGAGGGAGTAGATTACAGTGGTCTATGGGGAGCCCTGGTGGTGTAGTGGTAATGGGTTAGGCTGTAATCTTCATGAAAAACCATTTGAAACCATCAGCAGCTCTGTTGGAGAAAGACTAGGTTTTCTATTCTCCTCAACAGTTAGGGTCTCAGAAACCCACAGAGGGGTGCTGTGAGTCAGCATTGACTCAATGGCAGTGATTTTGATTTTGGGGGGCC